TGGAAAAAAGTGTCTTATGAAAGAACTCATATTCCTTATTCTTTTAGGAAACCTAGGCATTCCATTTATCTTATACAACATTCTATAATCCTCAGTAGAGTGAAAAGCAAATAAATGATAACACTCAAGTGCTTGCAAATGAGAGCATGGATAGTGCAAATCTATGATGCTCCTTAACCATCAATACTAGATTAAATTAAATTCACCATTTTAAAAAAAAATAAAATCCTGGAGCAACAAATAGAGTGAAAAGTAACAGTAAGAAAGAGAAAAGTCAAATCACAGACTTGGAGAAAAATGACCAATAAATAGCAAAGATTTTTATCCAGAATAGGTAAAGAACATTTACAAATTGATAAATGTTCCTTACATATGTTTTTTTTTTTAAGATAATTTTTTGATGTCACTTTTTTTTAAAGATTTATTTATTTATCTATACATGAACAGGGGTATAGGCCAGAGGTGCGGGAGGGTAAGTATTCACCAGAGACAAGAGTGGGGAACAGAACAGGCAGACTAATGAAATACACTGCTGAGGGGAGCAGTGGGCATGACAGGAGAGGTCTGCTATGCCATGTGGGACCCTTGCCAGCTGGCCTGCCAGCCGGGATCGTACCAGTGCTGCTGAGGCTATGGACAGTTTCACAGCACTGCGCTCAACCACCTGCACCATCAGGAGAGGCCCAACATATGTTCTTTTTTCAACTAGGCAAAGTGTTTAAATAAGCCTTTGCAGGTAGATATCTGGATGCACAATAAGAATGAGTATTTGAGAAGGTTCGACATTATTAACGATCAGAGACATTAAACTCCAAAAGATACCACCAGCACCCATGAGAATAATTCCTAATATTGGTGATATCATGGAATAACTGGGACAATCATACATCACTGGTGATAACTTTTACATGTACTTTGAATAAGTCTTTGGCAATATCTACTTTGACTAATGTGTAACTTAGCAATTCTGCTCCTAGATAAATACCCAAGAAATGAAAGCACCATTATACGAAGACAAGAGCATAATCAGAGCAACTATAATTATTATGGCTAAAAACTAGAAATAATCATGCAAATCAAATCATCCACCCACTATAAAAGGAAAATTAGGAAATTAATAACTGAATTATTAATAACTGAATTTCTTTGGCACTATGTGGATGATATTTTTTAATTAAAAATAATTTTTAAGAATTTTAAATTATTTCACTATAAATTTTACATATGAAGTATATAGTACAAGAAGTACATGAAGCTTCAGAGAAAATAATTATATTAATTAGGAGGTTGGTGTTTTCACAAAGAAAAGAGGTCATTTGTAATTTGAAAATATATATTTATATTCAAAATGTGTAGGCCTATTTATACAAATGTTAATGTTTATTTTATAGTGTTTGAAATTAATTTTTAATACTAAAACAAAAGCTAGTTTTAAATGAACTACCATTTTTGTCTTTGTAAAAGTAATGGTAGCACAAAAGGAACAGAAAAACATATCAAAATAGTATTAAAATTACCAGACAGAATCAACATTTGTAAGAGGCTTGGTTCTTACCCCCTGTTTACAATTCAGTGGGCAAAAAATTGCTAGATTATTGCTACATACAGAAAAATTGATTTTTTGTTATGTGTTATAACTTAGAAAAAAACAAAGCATGTTTTGAGATTTTTTAAAAAACTATTATGAAAATTTCCCAATAATCACAAAAGAAAGGGGAGCAGTACAATGAACACATAGTCACCCTCTTTTTCTTATTCTTTAAACAATTTAAAGTCATTTCATGAATCCAAAGTAAAACCTATTATCACTAGTCATGGATTTAAATTCATTAGACATTTCTGACTCTTTAAGAGATTCATTCTTTCACTCAGGACAGTATATTCAAATTTGGTATACTAACCTCAGGATAATGGCTTCTTAATGGCAAGGGTTTAACTGTCTTCATTTCAAAATCAAAGACAGAATATCAAACTGGAGGGAAGGCTCCAAAGGCATTCATTTTTTCCAGTGCAACTGGGTAATTGACACTACTTGGTGGTCTAGAAGCTGTTGCAGAATGACTGACACATGTAACAGCATGGGTAAGTCATAATGATCATTATGCTAAGTAGAGGAAGCCATACACAAAGGCCTACATATTGTGGGATACAATTTCACTCTCTTTGTTTTTTTTCTTATGGAATTCTGAGTGACAAAACTATAAGGACAAAATCATATCAATGATAGCCAGGAACCAAAATAAATTTAATGCAAGTTAATATAATGGCCCAATTTGGGGTGTATATCATTATTGTGGTGTTATCTACATGATTACATAAATTTGTAAAATTTCATCAAGCTGTAGAAGAAGGGAGAATTTTCTTTATGTAATTAATATCTCCATTCATCCTATAAGTCAAATTTAACTAAAAAGAATATCTATACCAAACACCGATAAACCCAGTACACTGGGACATTGATTTTCCTTCACTGGGGTGCTACATTATTCATGGAATAGAACAGATATTTGATTTAGTGCAAACATTTTATATTTTTATTTTTTGTCAAGCTTATAATACACTGCAAGATCTTATATATGTATCCTATATATGCCCAGTTTTTAATTCTTTAATTATTCATTAATATATTTATAACCACTGCATGAACTTAGCAAGATCATTAGAATATGCATAGTATTATGGGAGAGTAATTTCATACAGCCTCTAGCCATTCACAATTTAGTTGGTACGCTTTCTTTACAAAATGTTATTGTTCTATGGATAAAAGTCATTTTGAATCTTTTTTTGGTTTGGTTTGTTCCGCATTATATGAAACGTGATTTGTTTACAACCTAAACAAACTGATGAATATAAGGAAATTGAAGCCCGTTAAAATATCTTTAAATTGAAAGTGACATATTGGACATATTGTCCAGACATTATAATTATTTTTTAAAAAGAAACATTTTAAATCTTTCCTTGATATGCCACAAATATTAAATTATTTCAATTAAATCATATAGATAAGTAGGGTTTTGTTTCATTCAGTTTTCTTTTATATTTTTAAGACTTTATATATCTTATCAAGTATGATATCAGGGTCCTCCCTGGTGGTGCAAGAGGTTGAGATGCAACCTATGAAGTTATCCGCAGCCACTGCAGCATGAGCTTGATCCCTGGACTGCCAGGGAGCATCCCACATGGCGCGCAGGCCTCTCCTGATTCACCCGCTGCTCCCCTCAGCAGTGTATTTCAGTGGATCTACCTGTTCTGTTCCCCACTCTGTCTCTGATGAATCCTCTCATCCCCCACACCTCTGGCCTGTACCCCAGTTCTTGTATGCATAAATTAATAAATCTTTAAAAAATAAAGTATGATATCAAATTCTTACATAATTCCAATTTTTAAAAAATTGTATATACTATTATTAGTTTGAACCTGTGATGGTTCACCGTTCTTAACTGAATATGGAACAAACTACACACTCTCAACTTAAAGATATTTTCTTTCAATACAGACTCCAGTTCATTTTTTAGTTTATAATTATTTTCAACTATAGAAAAATAAAAGCTTCCTCTCCAAAAATAAAGAGGCATACCCACCATATTATTATTCTGTATTGGGAAACTTTGCTATACTTTCAGAAAATTAGGTTTAAATTGTAAAATATATTGCAGTTATGTTACAAGATGTGCAATTCTCAGACATTTCTAAAGAGTTGATATTTCTAAAGAGTTGATATTTCTATAGATTTGATATATCTTACATTTTGTATTTAACTATTTCAATGATAATATATTTTCAGACTCCCCAAATAGCAAAACTGTAACACAGAAGGAAAAGACATAATTTTTAAACTAAAACTCAATTTCCAGGTACTTGAATACATACTTTCTTCTCCTTATCACCCACCTATTCAGAAATAACTTCCCAAGGGAGATATATGCCCTTCATTTTCCTTTTTGACTTTTTTCCAGGCAGGTAAAAGGCAGAAAATTTGAAGCAGTAAACAGAAGAGGAGGAATTCACTTACGGATCTGAATATAATTTAAAGCATGCACACTGGAGTTTGACTGATATTAAATATACAGATCTTACATAATGTCTTCTGACACTACATATGGAAATGTCAATGAAAATTATAAAACTAGGAAATATTTTACGAAAGTAATAAAATGTTAGTTTGCATTACATTTCAATCACAAATTACCCAATATACTTTTATTATCTTTTTTTCTAGCACAGTTTCTGTGATACTTATTGGAAACTCTCTGGGCATCTAAAGGTCATTTGTATATACACAGATAGCCATCGGAACTGGGAAGAAACCACCCCCAGTGGTGTCATGATTGTTTCAATTCTGAGAAATAGCATATATAATTTTTCACTGTAGAAAAGTTATTAAATGAAGGGGAAAATATAAAAGTGTGAACTCTACTAATTAAAAGGAAAAATGTTCTGCAAAATTCTGTGAAAGAGGTGAAAAGTGGCTGAATTAAAAACAGGATTCTTGTGACATTTTCACAAACTACATTTTTTTTACAAGTTACTTTGTAGAAAAATACATGCTTCCTTTCATAAATATTTTTCAAGAAATGTTTTCTAAACATTTTAATTTCAGTTATCATGACTTTGTAGGAATTAGACACAGAACTTGCTTTTGGATGTTGATAACGTATTTGAAAAAAGCACTTGTTTCAAACTTACTCAAAGCATGAAGGGCAGGGAAAAAATTGAATATTCCACAAAATCAAGATTTTCAGAATTAGAAATGAGAGCTAAATTTAATTTTTAAGAAATAAGCTTACTCTTGTAGCAGGTGAAAATTTCAGAATTGAAGGAATTAGTTGAAGAGATATTGACAAAAAATCTCCAATAAATCATTCCCTAAAAATTTTACATGTTTTTTAATACAAAACAAAAAAAAAAGAAATGAAAATATTAATAAATGCCAAACTACGGGGGGGGATTTTTTGCATACCCATTTTGTAAACAGTAAAATAAAAAATAATTCATCTTACCTCTGCTACCAGTTGCTGAAGAGAAGGTGAAGCTACAGAATGTAGATCTGAGTTGCCTCTTATTGGATTATGGAGACTAACATAAGCCACAACATTTCTCTGCAGAACTTTCTTGAAATCCTAAAACACAAAAAATTAAATGTCTTAAGTGAAAATAAAAATAGATCCAACTTGTTCAGTTACATGTTAAATAATAACCAATTCCTAGTAAAAATCATTACAATTGTTTAAGTACTTTTTCAAAAAGCAATCCCATATTGGTAAATAGAGAATAAAAAAAGTCATAAAAGGATTTTAAATAAGTGTGGTGAATAGTTACTTATAATACACAATGATATATTTTAAGGTGTGTTCTTGACAAAAAAAAAATAAAATTTTAAGAGATGTTCTTAAATGGTTAACACAATATTGAATTCAACATCAAAATAATATAATTTGAATATTAGCTTTAATGACAGCACTTAATTTTGTAGCTACTGAATTCGAGAACAGACATAGGTAAACTAAAACCAATCCTTTCCTTTGAATCAATGAAGCACTTTTTTCATGAAATATCTTTTTAAGCAAAATGGGACATAATACAGTTGTATTCCTGTACATACTCTCTGAAAGAAGACCTGATGCATTTCACACTCATTAGCAGGATATAATGATTCAGTAGAATAGTCTTTAGACTTTCTTGCAAAACCCAATGTCCCCCAAACTGAAGATCACTATATTTATTCACAAGGTATCACTAAAAATTCCTTCCGTTATTTTCCTTCTTTTCATGCATAAATGTTTAATGAGTAATTATCTCATTAGCATTTCTACAGAAATGTTCTAAAAATTGTATTACTTCATTTCTCAAGAACTATCAGATGGACGATTGCAAGGACTTATATATCTAGCAAATTTATAATGTTACTTCTATTTTATGTTGAAAATTCAGCTATACCTCTATAAAAGAGATGAAAATAAAATTCACTAAAATTAATAAGTATTTTGGGCCTCCCTGGTGGCAGAAGCTTTCTGCAGGACTGCAGCACTGATTTGATCCCCGTTCCTGGCCAGGGAGCTGACCCACATGGCACAGCAGACCTCTCCTGTCTTGCCTGCTGCTCCCCTCAGTAGTGTATTTCATTCACCGTGCCTGTTCTGCTCCCCATTGTTTCTGGTGAGTCCTCTCGCCCTCCTGCACCACTGGCCTACACCCCAGCTCTTGCAGACATAAATAAATATATCTTTAAATGATCAGAAATGTTGAACTTTAAGTACTCTGCTTTATACTTAGTATACTTTTAAAAAGTCTATTGTTAGAGAAGTGATATGGAAAAAAACACCTTCTATTTGCACACTGTCATATTCATACTCTCTTTGTTAGTCTATTTATTCTCACGGAAACTTACAATAGAGTCATTATTGCACCATTTGTGGAATCAAGTCTTAGAAAAATCTGTCTTTCCCAAGACCATGTTATATTATATGGAGGATTTGAACTCAGATTTCTTTGACTATAAAATCTCTATTTCTACACTAGCCTATGGAAAGAGATTCATCATTGAATAAGTGTATGTTTGTAAAGAATCTGTTTTGCAATATGTTATAATTTTTGTCAAGGATGAATATCAGTATTGTGTCAATTCTCTAATAACTTTGCTATAAATTCCATTTTTATGTATGTTAACCAGTATTACTGAATACTTAAAATTCTAATTGTATCAGGGTTTTTTGTGAAAACAAAATTAAATAGGACACTATAACATTTCAACAAGTTTTCTCCTCAGTGATCTTCACTAAGGAGTAAATTTAAAGCATGAATTTGCTTCAGGTAAAAGGAAAATGTTTCATTTCAAGAATATATGTGATAAGAGTAACAGAATTCCCAAATACCACCTCAATCAGACAGTTACTGACATCACAAACTTCACTGAAATAATCTGTTGAAGATAGTAATATATGGCTGTATTTGTATAAGCCAATAATAAAATCTGCGTATTATTCATTGTTTTCACTACTTATATATCTCTGCCCACCTACTCATGAAAATAGCCAAAAAGTTAAAGTATAATTAGATGCCAAGTATTCTTACGTATATATAAATCTGTATACATATATATTCTCTATATTCCACATATAAGTGAAACCAACTAATTTTTATTTCCCCTTCTGACATATTTTGCTTATACAAATATATATGTATATGTGTGTGTATTCTATAATGTGTGTGTGTGTGTGTGTGTATGCTAAGGCTGATGTTTCTGACCTTTTTGAATAAGAAGAGAATTTTCAAACAAAAATATTTTCCTAGGTACTCCCACATTATAGTAGTTGTACATTTACTATCTGTTGATTGAGAAAACATGAAATTATCAAAAGGTGCGACAGATCCTGTAAAACTTAAAAATGGATTTGTATTTTATTAACCACAAAAAATACCTACTTCATTTGGAAATATTCAATATAATTATTCATATACAAGCAAAGACACATTTGATTCCACTTGTAGGTTATGATACTTGGAAGTTCTGTAATAAACTCAAGGAATAATTACAATAAACTTTCCCAGGATATTAAAGTGAGGACATACCGATGTTAGGTAAGCCCACTTTGAAAACATAGCTTAGAAATACATGTTAATTTAGGGTTAACATGAGTGTGAAAATAGGTACTAGAAGGTATAGGTATCACTAAAATAGGTATCTAGAAGTCTATCTGATAATACATTTTTGGAATTCAAAAAGAATGTTTTAGACATTTTCTTAAAATGTACCTATTAATACAAGAAAAATTAAACTTTTCACTATGACAAAAGAATTCTGAATGGCAAACATTCAACCCAAAGCACAAATATATTCCCAAATTGTTTTTCATCTTTAAAAAGTAAGCAGTTTGGAGTAAAAGCTTGAGAAATAGGTACATTTTCCACCTCACTAAAAATGTGTCAGTTTAAAAAGGTTTTTCAGCAATGAGTTTCTTCATTTGAATTAGTTCTTTTGAATATGGAACAAACATTCACACCACTAATTTGCATATTGCAAAGAATTCCAATTTGCAATGTGTGAATCTCTATAAATTTTACAGTGTAAATTTTTTTTTTCATTTTTTAAGATATCTGTCCTTCAAATTAAAAAAGACAGTGGAGATTTTTTTATTTACCTTTTAGATATTTTCTTGGTTGATGGGTATTTTTGTTAGTGTGTAAAAAATGAATCAGAAACTTATTCTCATTAGTGAGATCAAACTTTTTTCTTCAAAGCTGAAGTAGTGAATATACTGGACTATCAAATGGTTTTACTTTCCTAGCAAAATTTGTACAGGTTTTAATCCCCCAATTTTATTTCCACTGAGTCTCTTTTTAAAACAATCATATAGTGTTGTAAAAATATATTAAAAAATTATAATGATATAAAGTGCAATTAGACAAGTGGATATTAATTTGAACAGTATGAAAAACTTGACATGATGTCAGATGCAACATTTAGTATTGTATTGTAAGAGGAATTACAAATTATAAAGAGGAATGGGAAGAATTATTTGAAAAGGCCTTAAAATATTTTCCTTTTCAATTATATAGCTGTGAGAGGCCATGTTTTCATCATACACTTGAACCAAAACAACTGACTGCAACAAATTGAATGCTGAAGCAGATATGAAAGTCCAACTTTCATTATAGTAAAATAATAAAGCAATTACAACAAATATAATAACTTTTTTTTGTAGATATATTAGTTCCTTCGGTCCTCCCTAGTGGTGCAAGGGGTTAAGCACAGCACTGTGAAGCTATCCGCAGCTTCTGCAGCACAAGTTGGATCCCGGGCTGGCCAGGGAGCAATCCACATGGCTCAGCAAACCTCTCCTGTCTTGCCCACTGCTCCCCTCAGCAGTATATTTCAGTCAGTCTGCTTGTTCTGTTCCCCACTCTGTCGGTGGTGAATCCTCTCACTCCCTACATGCTGGCCTGTACCCCAGTTCTTGTATGCATAAATAAATAACTCTTTTACAAATATGTATTTGGGCCTCCGCTGGTGGCGCAGGCGGTTGAGCGCCGTGCTGTGAAGCTGTCCGCAACCTCTGCAGCACTGGTTCGATCCCTGCCAGCTGACAAGTGTCCCACTTGGTGTGGCAGACTTCTCTTGGCTCACCTGCTACTCCCCTCAGTAGTGTATTTTGTCATTCTGCCTGTTCTGTTCCCCGATCTGTCTCTAGTGAATCCTCTCACCCTCCCACGCATCTGGCCTGTATCCCGGTTCTTGTATAAATAAATATTTTTTAAAAAGAGTAAACTTAAAAAAATATGTATTTGTTGTTTTGAGATGTTATTTAAATCAATATGTAATGGGCTTGTTTTCAAATAAATTTTTAATTAAAAAAAATCTCAAAATAGGATATCTAGGAATTTTATGATGCTTTCAAGTTGTTAATAAGGGATCAATTTGATTATCAATTCACACAGTTTTTAACAATACAGCACATCAGAAACATTTGAAACTAAAATATTCTGCTGTGCTTTAACCTATTGCACACTATTTCATATTGCATCCTCAATATCTCAAGACAAAAACTTTCTAGGAAAAGTAGGTAGGCATGTAGGTAGGTGGGTAGGAAATAAGGAGCTAGAAGATATGGTACATGGCTTGAGGAAGGTAGGAGTGGGAGGAAGGAAGGAAGGATATTGCTATCTTGAGTCCAATCTCTATATTGTACAGCTGAGATATAATGTTAAGGTAATAAACATTTACCACAGGAGATTGTTTCCTAATTCTATACAACTGTTAAGGAGTTTAAAAAAAAATCTATCTACTGATATTTCTTACCCATTGCTTGCCATCATTTCGAAAGAAAAAACAGTAGTTGTGGGTATGCTATTCCGGAGGTGCAGCAGCAACAAGGATACAACAGTTGTAGACATTAAACAATTTATTGTGATCTACCTCAGATCCCCTTCATTCTCATGAGGGATTTCAGCATAATAGCAGATATGACACCATGATTGAGATGCTTTTTTTATCCTTGGTTTCAACAATATTACTTTGTCTACTTCAGTCAGAGAGAGAGAGAATAATGTCTGTTTACCTCTCCCCATTCATAAGAGCCAATATTGCCATAGGTTGTTCCTCCCCAGGAACAGAAAATGATAGTGCGGTCTGGTCTCCACCCTTTCTTAACTTTTAACATTAAAGCCTGGATGAAAGCTGTGATTATGGCAGTGCTGCTGGCCCATTCTTGTCCATTATAGCTGTATGCAGTGTGATGGTGGCTGCCAACTATGATATACCGGTCTGGAAATAGAAGGAAACAAGAGCTATTAAGACAAAAAAAAAAAAAAAACCCCAAAAACCTTAACAATAAATTTAATGACATTTACATAATCCTACTGCACAACTGAGCAATAATTATGCAAAATTGTTCTAATAATTAAGACTAACATTTTTCCTCTACTGCCTTAATTCACACATCTGTATATATCAAAGCAGAGGCAGCTGCTGAACCCAATTATGAACACAAAGCTTAGATACATATTACTGTCCTTTGCAAGTTGCATATTAATTAATGAAGTATACAAATATGCCACAATGAAACCCTTATCTAACATTTTTCCAGAATATAGTGGGAAGAGTCTTGTAAACAATGTGTGTATGCTCAGTAAATATTAATGAACTATTAACATATTTGATAGAGAAGTTATTTAGTAGCTATAAATATTTAAAATGTGGAAATCATATATGGATTTTGCTATAAATGAAATGTTTAGGGAATTCAAACTTCCAAGAGAGTCAGTCCCTCTTCTTTCTTTGAAGAAAAAAATCTTCATCAAAAATCATCCAACTATAGTGAAAATCTCCTTTCACATATTTTATTTTATGTAATAAGATATAACCCATTAGCTAAATTATTAGAAATTTCTCCATGACACATGAGTGTGGCCTGCTCAGGCACATTATTGGCTTATGTCAGTAATAAGGTAGAGTAAAAACTTACAGAGATTCCTTTGATTTTGTTGACAGCAAATGTTGTTACAGAGTCAAATTCACTTGATCAAGTAGCCCTGTACATCTGCATAATTTTTATTTTTTTTAATCGAGTGTCATTTAGAAGATGTCTTTAACTTGACAGTTAAGTACGTAGGCTGTGAAGCCACTCTGTTAGGGTTTGATATAGACTATTCAACTTATTAGTTTTGTGACCTTGGAAGATTATTTAACCTCTCTACTTTCTTCATACCTTACTTTCTTCAACCATAAAATTGGAATAAAAACAGTACCTCCAACATTCTATTGTCTTGAGGGTTTTTTTTTTGTTGCTTCTTTATTTTTTAATTTAATTTTATATATTTTTACATCATTCTTCATTTTTGTACAATGTATGCTTTTTCATCTCGCTTATAGTCCCACCACCAATTCACCCATGTACCATCAACATAGTCCGTTGTGTTCTTCCCACCTCTATTTTGATTCCACTCCCTTCTCTCCCCCTGCAGAATGTCTCGGGTTTATAGTTTTAAATGTGTTACTTTTTTCTAAAGCATTTGCTTATGTATCTGACCCAGAAGCACTATGCATGTGGAATAAGTGAATCACCCCCTTACTTCATGGCATGAAAAACTGCTTTATGAGAAACATCACTGTGTGAAGCTATCTTAGTTTTCACATTGATATTGGGACCAGCAAGAAATTTTATGGATAACATCTTATCAAATTTAATTTGTGTTTTACATAGTGTGTCTGCAAATGCTGAAACCCTGGCAATATATTCATTCATCTCCTAGATATGTGTGGAAGTAATTTGGAATTCTCTGTACTCTAGAAAAGCTATATCTAAAAACCAGAACACTAATTGATGATTATTTCTGATTTTCAGAGTCAGTAAATAAGAAAGTCACATGAATGAACACCCAGTATTTTTGTGTAGACTTGAAATAAATAAAATTTGAAACACTTTGCTTATTATCCTCTGACAAATAGTACTGGCTGGAATAACTGATTTTAAAATTTTGATTACTTTGTAAATTGGAATTTTGATAAAGAAAACTTCATTACCCTAAGACTCACATAATTTTGTATGATTTATTTTTTGTTCAATAATCATTTCTGAATGCAGCAATGCTGATAAATGTTTCTAATGCTTCATTTTGATCTCCTCACGGTGGGCATTTGTTGAAATGGTTGCAATGCATCAGTAACCACTTTAAAATTAATTTATATCTTATATTTAAAGAAACTACAATCAGAGATTTTTCAACATTGCTACAGTATGGAATTCAGAGAGATATATATTTTATTAATTTTGTAAGATTTGATTAGCAAGAAACTGGGGAGTATAAAACTTCATGATTCTCTAGGTTAGCTTTCTGGTGTGTATTAGACTGAAGTCATGCAGAAGAATATTTTTCCAAGAACAGCTTGTGGAAATATACCAATCAAATAAATAGGAAGGCACAATTATAATAAAAGTACTGTTGCACTCTATGCTGTACAGTGAGTACACTGGGAAGTAATTTGTAACGCAGCCTCACAATGTGTTTGAAAGTATTGCTATTAATCTCCTAATTTATGTTTGTCCTTTATTTTTAACTTTTTCAAAATTTTATTTTTAGACCTGCATATCCTCTAAAGATCTCATCAGCTTTCTACAACAACTGCAAAATTATTGAAAGTGATGCTGAGTGATCACTGGCCATTGTCATCAACACACCTTCAAAACCTCAAGCCATGTAAACATTAGGTAGAATTGTTAGTGCACCAAGAATCAGAGACAGGACATAGACTTATACTGAAAAATTAGATCTGGGGAAACACATTTATTAACAAAAACACCACTACAATTAAAATGTATATTTAGCATTTTGGTAAAAAATTATTTTGATGATGTTATAATGAATAAAGAAAACATTGGTTTTCAAGCTTTTCTTCCTAAGGCACAGACCATTTAACAAATCTAAACTGATTTCTCCATTTTATACTATACAATCTACTATGATTTACTTTTGAAGAGTTATGGTAAGGAATAGACTAAGTACCAACTTCTTGGTTTCATACTGACTGACTTTAAAAGTGGCATAAATTCCTAGTAACATGTAAAGTAGAATATTTATCTGTTGTTAAAAATATTATAGGGAATTTCTTCATGATGTCAATATAAAATATAGATTGTAAAACTTAATCCTACTTACCTGGAGATGTCAAGCCCTTTAAATATCCAACAACATTAGTAATAGTTTTGAACTGTGTAACTGTCTGAACTTGCAATTTGGCAATTCTTTGTTCTGAAAAAAAAAAATTAAGATGCTTGTTTCTTCATATTCCATTGTAGTTTTTTTAATAACAAATTCTATTTATATGATATCATAAAAATTTCCAACCATTGAATTTTTCTAGGTAACTAAATTTACTTTTTTTATAAATATGTATTCATTAAAATGTATAGACTATTTTAGGTGCTTATATGCAATAATAGCTAAAACACAAGTGTTAGCCTCATAGCACCTCAAAGCATAAATGAGCAATTCTAAACTTCACATACAGGTAAAGTGAATTTAACATGAGCTCACAAAGGAGATGAACTAAGAGAGGCGAATAACTCATATTAAAAAAAAAAAAATTGAAAAGAGGGTCCTCCATGATGGCCTAGGGGTTAAAATTAAGTGCTATCACTCTGTTGCCTGAGTTTAATTCCAAACCAGGGAGCTAATCCACATAAGGCACAGCAGACCTCTCCTGTCTCATTTGATGCTCCCCTTAGCAGTGTATTTCAGTAGATCCTTCTGCTCTGTTCTCCACTCTGTCTTTGGTGAATCCTCTTACCAACCCACCTCTAACCTCCCTCCCCTGCACCTCTGGCCTACACCAGTCCTTTTATGCAAAACATTAAAAAAAAAAAAGAAAGAAGAAATACAAGGATAAAAATATTTCCAAAGAAAGTTCTAATTTGAGAAAAAGAACATGTGAAACGTAATTGAATATTTCCTCTAAGGTTCATTATTCTATTCTCACTTGAATACTGTAAACCATTTTACAATTTAAAAATTTAAAATTCTTGGGCCTCCCCGGTGGCGCAGTGGTTGAGTGCTGGGTTGTAAAGCTTCCCGCACCCAGCAGCCTCTACAGCACTGGTTCCATCCCTGGCTGCCAGGGGAGGGTCCCACATGGCGTGCAGACCTCTCCTGCCATGCCTGCTGCTCCCCTCAACAGTGTATTTTGTCAGTCTGCCTGTTCTGCTCCCCGCTCTGGCTCTGGTGAATTCTCTCATCCTCCCGCGCTTATGACTGTACCCAGTGCTTATATAAATAAATAAATAAATCTTTAAAATAAACAAATAAATAAATAACTAAATAAATAAATAAATAAAAATTTTAAATTCTTAAAACAATACATACTTTAATATACTGGTGTCTTTATTTCCACCTGTATGTATAGGTTTCCCACCTCTATTCTAAATCGCCATCGATTACTCTATTGCTTTGAGTTCTTCTAGTCATGCATGATATTTAAAAATTTTGACCACTTAAACACCAATGGGAGGAACTCCAGTCATATTCCTGGGGTGTTATTTGAAGGCTTTTGCTAGAACATTGTTATTTCTGTATCTAATGGATCCTAAGAAGTCTGGGGGATTTCTAGGGAGATTAAAGGGCAACCAGGTGATAATATTGGGGCAGATGGTGGTAATCAGAAAATAACTAATACAAACTAGCCATGTAATACTGACAGGGCCTCAAATATAACTTCTCTCTTGGAATAAAATTGTTATGATAAATAAGATGCCTCTTTCCTTGAATGTACCTTTTCTAACAATATAAATGGAAAATCAGCACCTGAATTTGTTAATATTATAACTAGAACAAAAGTAAAGAGGCTCTGACCTGAGAGGGTACCTGAATGCCTGATATATGGAAATGATAATCTGTTTAAAGTCTGAGTATTATGCTATTTTAATTTAGGTGATATACATTTTGTTTGTTTTAAGTTAATATACATTTTTAGATCCGTTGAAGATTTACAAAAGAATTGGACACAAAATGTTATGTTCACAATTCCCCCTTCCTCCCTTAACCCTGTTAGTAACACCTAACATTAATAGGACATATGATGCCAGTGGTAAGTCACTATCAATGCATTGTTATTAATTGATTCATAGTCAACATTAGCTAATGTCAAAACTAGAAAAGACCACATACAAGAATGAAAACTATAAAATACCATCTAAGTAAATATTGACATGAAAATTATTAACAAAATATTATCAAATCAAATTCAAACAATACATTAGAAAAGTCATACATCATGACCAAGTGGAATTTATTCCAAGGATGCAATGATCCTTTAGTATATGCAAATCAATCTGCATAATACACTACATCAACCTACAAAAGGATGATAATCATATATAATAATAATAGATTCAGAAAAAAACATTAATAATTTATCACCTACATTTATAATGAAATTTCTTAACAAGACAGGAAAAGAAAGTATCTATTTCCCTAATAAAGGGCATATATCACAAATCCACAGCCAATATTATAGGACTGAAAGTGAAACTTAAAGCTTTCTTTTTAATAAAAGGAAAAAGGAAAGGATGTCCATTGTCACCACTTCTGTTTAATCTAGTATTGGATGTTTTAGCTAAATTAGTCAAACAGAAAAAAAAGAAATAAAAGGAATCCAAACTTCAAAAGAAGCAGTGAAAAAATCATTTGCAGATGGCAACATATGGTATATAAAAAACCCTAAAGGTTACCAAAAAGCTATAAAACACAGTAAGTACAGTAAAGTGACAGGTTACAAAATCAATTTACCAATATCTATTTCATTTTTATATATAAATAATGAGCCAGGAGAAGAAATTAAGAAAGTAATTCTACTTATAATTTCATCAAAAATAATTAAATATCTATGAATCAATCTTGAAATGAAGGGCTTATACAATGAAAACTACAAGGTGCTATTAATGGTTATAGAGCAAGACATAAAGAGATGGAAACACCCCATGTTCATGAATGGGGAGAATTAATATAGCAAAATGATCATTGTACCAAAAGCCATTTATAGATTCAGTGCAATCCCCAATTAAAATCCCAGTGACATTCTTCAAGGAAACAGAAAAAAAAAATGCTAACATCATATGGAACCATAAAAGACCCTGTATAGTTCAAGCTATACTGAAATAAAAAAGGAAAAATGGCTATCATGTTACTGGTTTTATATTATGAAGTAGTAGTAATAAAAATAATATGGAATTGGAATAAAAATACATACAAGGATCAATTGAACAGAATCAAAATTCCAGAAATAAATTTGTGAATAAGTCTATACCTAATTAATGACAAAGAAAGCTAGTTCTCTTTAACAAATGGGGCTGGGAAAACTGGATGCCCACTTATAACAGAATGAAGTTGGATTACTCTCTAACTTAACACACAAAAATAAATTTAGAATGAATTACTGATTCTGATATAAGATCTGCAGCCACAAAACACATAGACGAAAACAATGGTGACATAATTTGTGACAGCTGTGCAGATAAGTCTTTGGAGATTCAACTCCTATGGCAAGAGAAATAAACATAAAAATCAACTTTCAGGACTGCCTTAAATTAAAATGCCTTCATACAGCAAAATAATTTATTAGTGGATTAGAAATGAGACTAGTGATTGGGAAAACATGTTCACATATGACACAACCAACAATTGGTTTATATACAAAATATTCAAAGAAGTCATCCAGTTTAAAAATAACAAAAAATATGAGCTCCCCTGGTGGCGCAGGTGGTTAAGTGCAGCGCTGTGAAGCTGTGCACAGCCTCTGCAGCACAGGTTTGATCCTGGCTGGCTGGTGAGGGTCCCACATGGTGCAGCAGACCTTTCCTGTCGCGCCCACTGCTCCCCTTAGCAATGTATTTCATCAATCTGACTGTTCTGTTCCCCGCCCTGTCTCTGGTAAATCCTCTTACCCTCCTGTGCATCTGGCCTGTACCCCAGTTCTTGTATAAACAAATAAATCTTAAAAAAAATAACAAAAAATAGGTAGCACATCTGAAAAGGCAATTTACCAAAGAGAATATACAAAAGACTGACTGACATGGAAAAACTCTCATTACTTTTAATAAGACAGATACAAGGCAAATCCCAGTGAAATAATATTTTACACCTGTGGAAATGGAATATATTAAATGGCCTCCAATAATGAATGCTGGATAGGATGTGGAGAAAAAAAGAATTCTAATACATTATTAGTGGAAATATAAACCAGTGGAGCTATTTTGAAAAGTGATCTGGACCTATATTAAAAAACTAAAGAAAAAAAAAAAAAAGTATATACCATATTCACTTCATGCATGAGACTACTTATGGATATCTAGCCAAAGAATATAAAAGCATCTTATAAAGACACACAAATAAGGAAGGAATCAAAGCAGATGAACTGACAACTAAAAATAATTATAAATTATTAGACATTGATTACTGAGGTAAAATTTCTGAGGTTAAGAAAGAAGGGAGAGGGAGAACGAGTCAATGAGGTAGGTGGTAGGGAAATTAAAAAAAGAAAAGAAAAAGGAGTACAATCAATGAGACCTGGAATGACAGCATATTAATCAAAGTTACCCTAACCAGTAAAGAAACAAACTGATATCAACAATGAGTAAGACTGTCTCATTTCTTTATTACTACTGTTAAAAATGCAGAGTCTGAATTTATTCATGAGGAAACATTATGGACCCAGACTAAGGCCACTCTGAAGATCATCGACATAGAAGTCTCAGAGATGATAGCATGAAATTCAAGATAAGTTAGAAAGTGCTCAAGGCTGATGAAAATGGAAGACTTGACAATGTATAAGACATGACCTTAGTTTGGATTTAGTTTTCATTTTAGGGTATTATAGGAACAATTGTTAAAAATTCAATGAAGTCAACTGAGTGCAGTTTAGAAATGTAATGATGTTTAGTCCCTTGCTGTGATGGTCCTGTTCTGTGTGTAGGAGAATGTCTTTGCTGGCAGAAAAAAAAATAGATGGAATGGTTCTTTATGTCCGTAACTTGCTCTTGGGTAATTAAAATAAAAATGTTTTCTATTCTCACATTTTTTTCTATAAGTCTGAAATTCAATACAAAACTTCTTTTGAGGGCCTCCCCTGTGGCGCAATGGGTTGAGCACAGTGCTGTGAAGCTGTCTGCAGCTTCTGCAGCATGGGTTTGATTCCCTGCTGGCCAGGGAGATTCCCACATGGTGTGGTAGACCTCTCCTGTCTCGCCTGCTGCTCCTCT